AATAAAAATACAAATAATAATAATAATAATTATTATTATTATAAATTGTTTAATACAATACAGTAAATATAAAATGTATTTTATTATTAACAGTAATTATTATTAATAATAATAATAATAATTTTGTTAATCATTATTGTTATTATAAATATTATGCAGAATTATCATATATTAGAAATTTGATCAAATATTACATTATAAATATTACAATTATTATATACAATAAAAAATTCTAATAACTGTATCTTATAATAATACAATGATAATAATAGTGATTAAATTTAATATTCAATTCATTTCAGCTGTATTTGTATAGCCCTTTTACAATGTAGATTGTGTCAAAGCAGCTTCACATAAATGATCATAGTAACTGGATCAGGGTAGTTCAGTTTTAAGTGTTTAAGTTCAGTTCAGTTTAGCTCAGTTCAGTGTGGTTTAAAGTCATTACTGAGAGTCCAAACACTGAAGAGCAAATTCATCGATGTGTAGCTCTACCAATCCTGAACCATGCAAGCCAGAGGCGACAGCGGAGAGGGAAAAAAACTTCACCTGACGGAGTGAAGAAAAAAAACCTTGAGAGAACCAGACTCAGTTCGGCACAACCATTTCAATTTTTCCGCTGGCCAAAAGTATTGTGCAGAGCTTTAGTCATGCATAGCGGTCTTCCTCAACATGTAAACACTCTGCACAATAAGCTGCAAATAAAGCATCAAAACAACATTTAAAACATTTTTAAATGTACAACATTTAAAAACAATAACAGTATGCAATCTTAAACAGGTGTGACTCGAGTCTCATTTTTAACAGACAGAAACTCAGTCTTTCTAATGTCTGGATGTAATTATATGTTATTATTTTGCGAACTGTAATGTCTTCCTGTGATTGAAGGCTCTAATTTGATGATCAACAAACCTTTCTGATGCGTTTCTGTTAGTGTTGTTACATGTCGCCGGTGTTGTAATCCAGTTTGCTGGAAAATCCTCACAGTGGTTTATTTCTCAGTGTGTTAAAGTGTGCTATTTGGCTCTTCCCGTGTGAAAGTCTGTCATTTGGATTCATGTCATGCTTCAGGTGTTTGTTTTATTCCATTAATAAACTCAGACGGCCGCCACAGAATACTGAGCAGAGTAGAGTGCTGCGTTGCATAAATGTGTGCCTTTCACATGTTGATATGGATTTAAAGACTATTGGTCAAAGTTTTGGAACTGTATGATTATTAGTGTGTGTTTTTTTTAATAAGATGCTGTACTTTGCATCATAAATATGAGTAAATATATCAATAATATGGTGGCATGGTGGCTCAGTGGTTAGCACTGTCGCATCACAGCAAGAAGGTTGCTAATTCCAGTCCCAGCTGGGTCAGTTGGTGTTTCTGTGTGGAGTTTGCATGTTCTCCCCGTGTTGGCGGGGGTTTCCTCTAGTTTCCCCCACAGTACATGTGCTATAGGGGAATTGATGAACTAAACTGGCTGTAGTGTATGAGTGTGTGTGTGAATATAAGTGTGTATGGGTGTTTTCCGGTACTGGGTTGCAGCTGGAAGGGCATCTGTTGCATAAAACATATGCTGGAATAATTGACAGTTCATTCCAGTGTGGCAACCTCTGAAATAGAGAGTAAGCTGAAGGAAAATGAATGATTTGCTCACCAAACCTGTGTTTATTTGAGTTAAAGCATGGAGAATAGTGTAAAACTGTGGAATATTTTTCTTAATCCTTTGTCCAGCACCCTGACGCGGACGCTCTGCGCCGCTGTTTTTCCACATGTCAATGTTTATGAATACATTACACCAAAACGAACACAAGTAATCTTGACAAACTGTACATCGGTTTAAAGCTACAGCCCTCAAACAGCCATTGCAGCTAGATGTTTTTCAAGGGGAAGCTCATAAAGTGTAAGTTGTACAGAAATCGCTTATTATAGTGAGCTGCGTCCCAAATCGCATACTTGTGCACTATTCTACGCCATTTTGTAGTATTAATAGTGTAAGTAGTGCGTTCACACTGAAAACTCTAGAAATAATAAGAGCACTTTAATTACCCGGATGATGCACTCATTCAGCCGCTAAAGTGAAGTGTGCAGTGATGGACACTTTATGCACTCAACGACCGCAGGTTTGCTGACGTAGCGGAAGGGGCGGAGCTATCGGACGCACATGTTGAATAATTTTATTTATTTTGGACGGTGAAAGCAAAATTCTGCTACGAGAGCGATTATAGCGCCTCCCAATGGTGAATGTGGTTTTATTCACGGCAGGTATTATCTGATAATTCTGTCGTTTATTTCACTGATCTGGCAACCGTCAAACGTCATCAGGGAAACGGTTTCAATATCCGCATAGTAAAAAAACATTAGTGTGCCATTTGGGATGACACTACATACATAAGCTGCGTCCCAAATCGCATACTTGTGCACTATTCTACGCCATTTTGT